TAGTATAAGCTTAGCTTTATCCTTAGTAAGAACCTCTATAGATTAAGATACTACTATAAATATAATAACTTTATAGATATCTCTAAAGGACCTATTATTCTTACTAAGGATATAAAAAATATAGACTTTTATATTAGCTTAAAGGTTTACTAAAACCTTAATTAATTTAGGATAAATCTTAAAGAGTATTTTAACTATTATATAGCTGCTCTTAATATAATCCTTAAGGTCTTTATTATCTTTAAAGATAATAGAAAAGTATATTTATATTTAGATTAATCTTTAAGGTTATTACTAATTTATCTTTAGGTTAACCTTATAGTTATAAAGTAGTAAGTTTTTAGTAATAAGAAGTATTATTAAAGTATTTATAAGTTTAAGTATAATAAGTACTTTTTAATTAAACCTTAAATAATCTCTAATTATCTATAAAGTGCCCCCCTATAAAATAAGATAACTATTATATTATCTAAGCTACTTATCTTATTATAGATAGTAAGGTAACCCTTTATTATAAAGTAATAGTAATTAGCTATTATAAAAACACTAACTTCTATTAGTTTTATTTTAATCTTCTTAAGGGCTTATATAAGATAGTTAAGGAAGATGTTAAAGATAAAAGTAAGGAGTAAATTTAGATTAATCTAAGTTTTAGTAATAAGAAACTAAAGTAAAGCTTTAGTATTAAATAGCTACTTTTATACTTAAATTACTTTTTAGTATAGCTTATAGGGAATAAATTAATCCTTTAAGAGTTCTTATAAATATTATTCTTAGATTAATCTTAGATCTAACTATATCTTTAACTATACTACTTTAATTTCTTAGAGCTCCTTCTATAACTATATAAACTCCTAGAGTTTTATTAGCTCCTTAGTAGTAGGAATAACTAAGTTAAAGCTTTAAAGTACTTAAGTAGTATTCTATTAAGTATTACTCCTTTATTATTACTATTAACTATTATATATAGACTACTATTATAAAGAATTAGAGATATATATTAGTATTAGAGAGTAAACTTAGAGTAATCTAAGAATATACTTAGATTAAATATAGCTTTTTCTTTATAAAGAAGACTAATAACTTAATAGAACTAAAGGTTTACTATTAAATAAAATTAAGATTAATAACTTAATATTATTAGATTTAACTATTAAATAGATAAATAGAGAGCTTAATAGGATTAGAGCTAAGGATTTACTTATAAGAACTATTAGAAGTAATAATAGTAGTACTAAAAAACTTAAAAGCTAGAAGCTTAAGCTTTATTAAGGAGGTATAAGATATTACTAGAAAATATTATTTCTCTTAGAGTATTAAGAATACTTCTTTTTCTTTAAGAATAATTAGATATTAATTTAAGCTTAATTTAAGCTTAAATATAATATATACTTTAGTAAATAAGTTTTTAAGCCTCTTATATATAAACTAAGGTTTAATAATATATAAAGGATATTTTATACTACTTAAAAATATTACTTTCTTTATATATATAGAGGTTTTAGATTTAAGAACTAAAAATTAAATATTAAATAAACTATCTATAGAGTAAATAAGAAATAAACTACACTTAATCTATATTTAAACTAGACTTAAACTATATTTAAGCTATACTTAAATCTTATTTAAACTACACTTAAACTATATTTAAACTATATTTAGACTAAGATTAAACTATATTTATTTTAAGTTTAAACTATATTAATAATTACTTATTTTTCTTATATTATAATTAGTAGCTTTTATTAGCTACTCTATATATATAATAAGTAGTAGAGGGATTTAATATAATTTATATAAGATATTAACTTATCTTAATTTACTTTTATATTTTTTAACTAGATTAGGTTTAAACTTAGGTAGATATACCTCTAGTTTTTATACTAAGCTTAGTATTTAATCTTTAGATTAGAATAAGCTAAGAGTAATCTAAGATTAAATAAAGCTTACTCTAAGTATAATCTTACTTATATAGTAACTAATTTATTATATTATTTTATTCTTAATATAACTAATAAGTTAGAAGAGATATTATTATATAGAATAATAATCTTAATACCTTACTATATATAGTTCTAAAAATATCTTAAATATTATATTAAAAGTAGATTTTATAATACTAAACTAAATATTCTATATAAACCTACCTCCCCTTTTTATAAAGTAATAAGATTTTATATTATATATAAGTCTTAAAACCTATTTATTATTAGTATAAAGTATAATCTAAGTATAATTAAGGAATATTCTAATATACCTTAAAAAAGCTTTATATCTATATCTATAATAATCCTAAGGAGCTTATAATAATATTAACTAAGTTAAAGCTTAAAAGGTATATAGTACTAGCTAAAGTAGATATATAGGACTCTCCTTCTTAATATTTAGAATAAATATTTAAAGAAAAGGTAATATATTTTAGGGTCCTTAAAGTTTACTATAGTATAAGTAAGTAGAATACCTATTATACCCCTATTAATCTTAGATTATTTTAAGATTATATTAAGAATAAACTTACTTCGCTCTAAATCTAATATATAGTAGCTTAATATAATCTCTTTTTTATTCTTTCTAAAAAGATACTTATAATTTATATTAAGCTAGAAAGTCTTAATAGTTTTCTAAAACTTAGCTTAACTTTACTAAAAACTAATTATTATCTATAAATTAGATATATTATAGTAGAAATACTATAAGTATTAAAGCTTATTAATATATAAAGTAATCTATAATTACTCTAGGAATATACTAAAAGTTTACTAAGAATATTTTTAGAAATAATTTACTTAATTATCTCTTATAATATAATATAATATTTCTTAGAGGTATTATAATCTAAGTATAGAAAAGCCTATTAAGTAGTAGAAGAGGTTTTCCCTCTTAATTAGTATAGCAATCTTATCCTAATTACTTAAGCTTAAGTATATCTTAAGTAATATACTTTTTCTAAATTTATTATATAGATCTTAATAGTATTAACTATTTATATAAGTATTTAGTAAAAATTAATCTTTATTTAAATTAAGTATAATCTATAAATATACTAAAAGTAAGATATAGATTATATATAGACTTAATAGATTATATAAACTTTTAATAGATTATTAATAAGATCTTCTTTACTAATAGTAAGAGGTAAGTATAAAGCCCCTTATAGACTAGAAATATATATAAATATTTTATAATATTATATAGGATAAACTAATAAAACTTAACTTTATAGGAGTACTTCTTTATTTACTTTTACTTTTAGTTATAATTAATCCCTAATTTATTAGAGAGTATTCTGTAATTACTCTAGAATTAAAAGTACTTACTATATTTTAGCTTCTTATATTAAGTAATATCTTAAACTATATAGCTTAGATTATTATTTAGATAATAATAATTTAAGTTCTAAATAATTTATTAAATAACAGTAATATAACTATTAAATTTAGAAAAGACTAAGGATATAATATATATTATAGAATTTATTCTTAACTAGTTTATATATTATATAATAAATTATAGTTAATAATTTATATTTTAGATAGTTTAAGCTATTATTTATCTTAAAGTAATTAAGGATTAAATATACTTATAATATTATAACCTATTATACTTAATATATAAAGTTTTAATCTTAATATATTAACTTTATTTAAGCTTTAAAGGAGTTTTAGGCTATATATGCTTAAGTAATTACCTATTATTATAATATAAAAACTTAGGTATTTTCCTATACTTCTTATATTTATTCCTAGATTATTTTAGGAATAATCTTATATAGTTCTAAGAACTTAAAGTTAAAATATTTATAAATAGTATACTTTATATACTAATAAATAACTTAATAATAATTTTAAATATTTAAGAAAGTATATTATATATTACTTTCTACTTACTTTAACTTATAATAGAATTAAACCTATTAAGTTAGTATAAAGACTAAATATAGAGTAATCTAAAATAAACCTATTTTATCTTAAGGTTTCTTAATTTTAATATCTATAAGTTTTTTTATTAAAATTATATATAGATACCTATTAAAAGATATATTTAGGTAAGTAGGGATATTAATAATAAATATAATATCTTTTATAGTAAGTATAGTTAAATAGAGGATTAATTCTAAATAAGTTACTTATAAAATTAGAGATTAATTATAGATTATATAGCTTTAGTATTTTACTTATTTATCTAAAGGATATAATTATCTATTAATTATAAGGTTTAACTAAGAAGTTATAAACTTACTTTATAGCTTCTAATTACTAGATCTCCTCTTTAGGAATATTAATAAATAGAGGAGTATTTTTAAAATTATTATATATACTTATAACTTATTAAAATAGCTACTTAAATTTATTATCTTTATTATTAATATACTAACTTAGATAGATTAATTTAAAATTAAATACTATTTTTTTAATTTAAGTAGAATTAACTATAATTAGTCTTAGATTATTCTAGGATTTAGTATATAAAGCTATATAGTAAAAAATTATTTTAGGTAAATTAAGTAGTAAATAGGTAGAAACTACTAAATATACCTTTAAAATAGGGTAGTAGTAGGTAAACTAATATACCCCTCTTTCTACGGATAAATATTACACCGCTTATAAGTGGGGCCGAGGCGTACCCTCCGTCAGGTTAGCAGGGAAGGGGGTACCTAAGGTTAACTGCATCGTGCCGGCCGGGAGCACCACCTGGGCGCTGTTCAGGTACCCCACCAACTGAACTTTAAAAGAGCTCGCCTATCGTAGTCGGGCTGCTTATCAACACCTTATCGGCCGAGCAGCGGCTATCTCTTATCGCCTGTCGCTGCCAGCCTAGGGCCATTGGGTTGCCTTGAGGTACCTTCATCACTGGTCAATCGCAGCTTCGTTTCCACCCCACGCAACGAAGCATCGTCGACGGTCGCAAGCCGCCTCCCTCGTCCCCCGATCGCGACACCACCGCCATGCCCATGGCGCCGTGCGAGCTCGAGCTTCATGTATAGCCGCGAAAACAAGATCATGCGCAAACTCCTCGGCAAAGTCACTGCCGACAGCAGCACCGACACGAGCCACACCATCGGCATCACCAGCGCGCCTCAGTTCCAGACCTCCTACCGCCCCAGCGCCTCCCAGAACGCCGTCTACTCCGCCGGCGTGCCCATCCTATGCCTCGATACCTCTCCCGACCATCGGACTGCCATTATCGCCGGCCGACATGTTCTCAAGACCGTCGTCTTGGACGGCCTGTCCATTAGCGAGGGCGTCGATGTCCGCGGCGCCATCACGGCCCAGTCGGCCTCGAGCAAAGGTGCTTCGAGCTCCCTGATGGCCGACCAGCTTTCGATACGAGACGTAAAATGGCATGGCGATTCCACGATATTCACAGCTTGCGCGAACGGCAATATCTTTTCCTACGATCTGGCGCGAATTGCGACGGGCGGCACTCCCCTGGAGTTTGTCCAGACGAGGGAGGATTCACGTCAGGTGAACTCGCTGGACATTAATCCACATCGCCGGACGACTTTACTATCGGGGAGCCAGGATGGAATGGTGCGGTATTTCGACATTCGCGCCCCGGTCCAGAGTCGCTCGGGCGGCTTCACCTACAGTCCCAGAGGCGCCTACAAGTGCAATGCAGACGGTGTTCGCCAGGTCAAGTGGTCGCCCAAGGACGGCTTCTATTTCGCCTGTGGAACAGAGTCTGGTGTGGTTCTGAAGTGGGATGTGCGCAAGATCGCGCAGCCTCTGCTCAAGATTCCTGCACACGACAAGGCCTGCACCTCGATATCCTGGCATCCCGACGGCAACCATCTGATCAGCGGCGGCTGGGACAGCAAATGCACCGTCTGGGACATGTCCAAGAACGCAGACAAGAGACAAAAGCCGCGCTGGCTCATTTATACCCCTGCGCCTGTGTCTGCCGTGGCCTGGAGACCTGGTCTCTGGTCTGCGAGCGCCCAAGGAAAACGCGCCGCTCAAGTCGCTGTGTCATATGATGACGGCAGCCACAAGCGATACGGAATCAGCAGCGTTCACATCTGGGACCTAGCGAGACCCTCAATGCCGTACAAGGAAATCGATCGCTTTGATTACTCGCCATCATGCCTACTGTGGCAGAATCAAGATCTCCTGTGGACTGTCGGTAATGATGGATTATTCAACCAATGCGACGTCGCATTCGCCCCCAAGGTGCTGGACCGACAGTCCGTATCCAGCATGGCTTTGTCTGCGCGAGGCGATGCGGTCATGTTTCTCGACGAGCGACCACATCATCGCCCTCGACCACCAGTCATCCACCATCAACAGCAGAGCATTGTGCCACCGAGAACTTCCTATAGTTCGAGTCCTACCACTCCCATGCTCAGCATCAGTCGCAGCGACTCGGAAGAGGATGTCGTCGGAAGCTTTCTGGGTCCTCGACGAAGGATAGGCAGGAAGCGAAGACACAGCCTCAGGTCAATTCCTGTCCTAAGTACCACGCCGCCCTCGGGTCCAAGCCTGGGCGACGACGCGATCCTGGGCTTGGAAGCAGCGATCAAAGTCACGGGCACCTACAAGACACAGCAGTCAATGGCCGTCGGTCACATTCCGGCAGCAGCCAGAGTTGACGTGTACCAGTTTCTCTCGAGTTACTACCTGGAGACCATTGAGCAGGAGCTTCCTTACGTTACGGGGGGGAAGTCTTTGGCGAGTAGGGTCTCCTCCATCATGGAGCATTATGCCCGTGCAGCAGAGCAAGTCAACCAATTCCGTCTTGCACAAACTTGGAGAATCCTCGCATACTCAGTCAACCTATTATTGAACAGAAGGGCGGAGTATCATCTCCAGCTTCGACTGGGCCATTTCCAGAAGAGGCCATCCCTGCCAAAGATCAAAGATATCCCAAAGGTCAAGGTCCCAAGATCGTTAGGCGTCGTCGTGGAGATGAATGGCGAGGACACGCCCAGACGGCCCTCCAGTGCTGTCATCTCAAATACCGTTGATAGCAGGTCGCTGGGCCCACGATCGTTGCTGTCTGAGGAAATCGAGAGTACATCCAACGTCACTACGCCCATCGCCCGGGCCATTAATGAAGAGAACGCAGAACAGGGGGCGTCTCGATCGGATTCACGTCTACCGCCCGTCATGGAGTCGGATGGCTTTGCTTTGCCCCCTGCTGCTCACAGTACGTTCAACAACAGTCCTCGCAGGCGACTGGATTCGGTCCCTTTGTCTGTCACAAGCCATCACAGCGACCAGACACAGGTCTCTAGCACAGATGGATACGACTTTTATGATACTGACGCCCTCGCTCAAGCCATAGATGTGCCCGAGCCAAAACAAAAGGAGCAAATGCCCTTGGACTACGGCCCCCGCACCCCAAATAGCCGCCGAACCGCCCTGAGGCACAACTCAGACGACAGCTTTGCCCAGATGTTCTCCATGTCTGAGAGTAGCAGGCAGACATCGGGGCTCGCGTCGTCCTCTGAGGGGGGCGTCTCAGCTAGATCTATCACGAGCTACCCTGTGCAAATGCAGAAGCAGACTGTTGACGAGCAGGGCGAATATGAAAGTCGTATCCGTGGCAAGGAGATTGAGGACTCACCAGAACATGGCGCGTTGACAGAGCTAAATGCGCCTGTAGAGAGCACGCCGAAAGACTCGCCAGAGGAGATATTCATGATCTCCCAGACCACGCTGGCATCCGACACCGCTACTGACGACCTATCACAATCCCAAGTCAACTCCCTCCCACCAACATATGAGGACCTCGCCCCTCTCCATGTCGGTGTATCTTCTTCAACCCCGCCAAAACCTAATTCAACTCTCCAACACGACCCGACCCCGTCGATCCTCGAATCTGACTACCTCCCCTGGCCAGAGGACCCTTCGTATCCGCACCCTCTCCCCTCCAAAGAAACCCCCGAAACCTCACCGCCCCTCAACCCCTACACACTCCTCACCCGCGCGCTCGACTTCGAAACCCGCACATCAGCCCTGAACGCGTCGGCAATGGTTCTCCTCCTCAAGCCTCTCATGCCAGACTCCGTCATCGACCCCTTCCGCGCAACCGCGATCCTCCGCCAACACCACTCCCGCCTCATGGGCATGCAGCTCTTCATCGAAGCAGCCCTCCTCCGCAAACTCTGCGTCCGGGGCTGGCCCGAAGGCATACCGGACTGGGGCGCAAACTACACCTCCATCTTCGGCACCGCCCAGCAGGGCGTCAAAGGCGGCTTCATCTGCCCCTCGTGCCGCAAGCCCCGCGAACTCGACCCCAAGCTCGGCTCCAAGGCCCTCTGGAAATGCGAGCGCTGCCGCGTCGCCATGGCCCCCTGCGCCGTCTGCGGCCACCGCGAGACCACCGCCACCGTCCTCCCCATCCCCGGCGGCGTCTCCCCCCAGAAGCAGCAGGATCCCGTCATGAGCACGTGGTGGTACTGCCCCGGCTGCGCCCACGGCGGCCATGCCACATGCCTCCAGTCCTGGCACGCGCCCTCGGACGACGGTAGCATCCGCTACGAGCTCAGCGACGGCTGCTGCCCCCTCGACGGCTGCGGCCACGCCTGCCTCCCCGGAAAATGGGGCGACGAAAAGTCCGCTGCGCGCGCGGACGAGGTTGGTCGCGCGGCCGTCGAGAAGGCGCGGCTAGGCGGCGTCGGAGGTGGGGGCGGAGGCAGCGTGGCCGGGAGTAAACCGCAGAGCCCCGTGATCCAGCCCAACGTGCGCGGAGACAAGGACGATGTGCCGCAGAGCCGGGCCGTCGAGAGTGTGCGCGAGGCGTTGGCGGGGGGCCCGCCTGGCGCCGGCATTTTGAGCTCGAGCCCCGGGACGAGGCAGGGCGAGAGGGAGAGGCGGAAGAGCGTCAAATTCGTCCCGACGGAGCGCTAGTGGCGCGTCGATCTGCGAGCTTTTCGCTCTTTGTAGGAAGTCATGTGAAGATACTGTACGATGGTGTGTTTAGCGAGGTATTTTCAGAGCTACAGCGATGTGCGTTTCGGAGCACTGGCGTCGGGGTCCCATCTTTGGAAACGGGACGATGAAAGAAGATGATTTGCCGCAGACGTAGAAGAGGGCCATGTACGAGTATTAAACATATTATTAAGGCGAACGTCGCCGGGTATCTCGACAATTGAAACTACGTAATTATCCCACCCTCCTTTCTGTTCTGGTGTTGTAACTTTTGGTTTCCTCCATCATTTCAAGTCCCAACGTTTTCTCTCAGACCCTTGGTACGAAGTGACAATTTCATCTGTCCCTCATCAAACGGCAGACCTGCAGGTGAAAAAGAGGGAAGCTCCGGCGAGGCGGCGTCATCCCTCGCAGCCAGTGCCTTCCGAAGCTCGTCGCGTTGGCGGCTGAGGTACTCGCTGTCGTTGCTACCGCGGCGACTCCCGTCGCCAATGCTGCTCGTGTCCCCGTCGCCTTCCCTGACAGAGGACGCCGTGCGTCTTGAAAAGCGGCCCGCCCAGAGGCCACGGACACCGCCGACTTTGCGGCCGGGGAGCTCGTCGGTGCCGGCGCTGCAGACGTAGAGGAGGTATTTGAGGTTGGGCAGCGTCTGGCGTATGTCTGGGACTTTGAGGCCCTGGCTGGCGCAGAGGGCTTCGATGTTCTTGTTGAGGAGGAACCAGCCGTAGTCGAAACGGTAGTGTGCAGCTGTTGACCCTCCGCGCGGGATGTAGAGTGGGAAGTCGCGCTGTCGGGCGGCTTGGGCGGAGTTGAGGTCGGTCAGGAGGGAGATGTCGTCTCGGATGGAGGAGCGCGAGGCGAAGGGTGTGATGGGATACGGCAGAGGGACGCAGAGGTAGTACTGCAAGTGGTCTGTGAGGCTTGCAACGTAGCCAAGGGCGGCGGACAAAAGATCGTCATCCGCGCCCCGGGACGCAGATGTGTCGTACTCTGAATTAGGGAGCGGCAAGCCCGCGACTTGAAAGTTGAGAGGACCGCCGGAGGTGGTTGGAAGGATCTGATAGATGTGTGCCAGGTCGGAGCATATGCGACGTCGCTGCCCGCGTATCTGGCCTTGGGTGTCAGACAGCAGGGCCTTGGAGGCGGCAAGGTGCTCCGTCGCGTTGGCCACGTCCTTCTCTGCCTTGTCCTGGAGGGAACGCCCGTTGGCAATGGCTTCTCTGCGCGCCTTTAGCGACTCCCGCAGCTCTTCGCGACGCTTCTCGGACGCTTTGAGGGCACGCTGCTCTGCCGCCACGTATTTGCGCGCCAATTTCACCTTCTCTTCGGCCGCGGGAGCCTCATCGTGGGGTATTGTTTCGAGTATATCGTTAATCTGGGAGGTGATCTGTTCCTGAGTGGCAATAGCATCCTGGATGGAGTTGTCGAGCGTCGCGAGCTTCATGAGGGCATTGTAGGAAGACGTATGGAGCGGCGGCAGGTCTTTGGGATGCGCCGGCTTTCCCAAGACATCCAACGAGTACACGCCGTCGGCCAGGTGAAAGATAAGGGCATTGGGAGGGAATTTGTGGTTCTGAAGGCTGCCGATGAAGTGTAGACTTCGGAGGTCGATAATATCTTCGAGAAGCAACGTCCACGAGGTTCGCTTGGCCCAAATCTTTATCGTAAAGACTGGTGCTCTGGTCACAGAGGCTCCGTGGTGGTTGAGATCGAAGAATTGAAAGTTGAAGTTCTGCGTTATCAGGTTAGCTTGACCAAGTAGGCGTGGTTCCGGAGCTGCTCACAGTCGCGTGCTCCTTCAGCTCGGAGATGTAGACTGGCTCCTCCTCGTCCTCGCAGTGCAGGGAAAAGAACACGTCGGCAGCTCTACCGTCGACAGTCAATTGCAGCATGCGCTGCCTCGTCAGAGGACTGGCCTGGGCGAGGGCGGTGCTCCTGCGCCGTGGCGCCTTGGGACGGATGTTGTCGCTCGAGAGAGCATGGTGGAGATGAGGGGTATCGCGAAGAGCTTCGATCTTGGCGGGCGTCGCATTTAGAAGGGTGTCGTCGATGGTACGGCCACGGGGTCGGACGAAGCTGAGATTTCGGAGATAGATACCGCGGAGGTGACGAAGCTTGCGGTTCTGGGAGAGGAGGAGGGGGCGAGATTCGGGCGGAGGCATCGTGAGGGAACGGCTTGGCTCAATTCATGGCGCTTCTTTGAGGAGGCGGGGGTGGGCGTGGTTTCTTTGGCGAGCTCATGTGTCGCAGGGATACTTGGAATAGTCGCCAGACAAGGTTGTGCTGTGAACAAAGGTAAGCCGTGCTCACCGAAGGTATCGTGACGTGGTGATTGTTTGGAGATTTTAGGTGAACTGACGACACTGGAGGTTACAGAGAGCTAGCTGCCCGCGGTCACTGCTGACAACACAAACGGGTAGCAGCAGGAGCAGCAGGAGCAGGAGCACGGGCACCTGCTTCAGTTGGGTGCAGGAGCTCCTGACGTTTGGACTCAAATTGGCTTCGTCCCCCGCCCCACCTCAGCATCGTCATCGCTCAGGAACCGGATTATGTAATCGAAAAGCTCAGCAGAACGAGCAGTATGATATCCAAACCACTGATCATTCGGTTTTGATCATGTCGAATTCTCATACAACTTAACTTGTAAGTGTCAGGGCTTTCAAATTTTCATTTCTGTTTCTGAGATAAGTTCAGGTCCCAAACTGAAACTCACCCACCAGCAAAATGAAACGCCTCATAAACACATTTTCGATATCCAACGTAGTTGAGTAGAAGCTGACACATTTTCTAAATGTCGAGGTCGGATACAGGTTTTGATATTTTCAACGTAAATACATTTACTATCGCTCTTATCAACTTCGTGGGAAATAAGGACCTAGACTGTAGACACTCTAGGTACAGGTATAATAGTGAAAATGAAAGAGATGTTGAAAATATCAAGTTCTTGACCCTCGTCATTGGCTCGTCAGGGAAGGAGCCGTCGATTGAGAGGGAGTAGTCGGCGTCGATGACTCGATTGAGGGGCTGCTTGTGTTTGAAAAAAGTAAAGTCGTGCCAAAGGTGGGAAATCTGACAGAAGACGTAGTAGGACTCGCAGACGTTGAATCGATCGCGTCAGTGCTTGATATGGCTAGAGTGCTGCTCGCTGGCGTAATTAGGGATTGTTCGTTAACTGACTCCGTTATGCTTGACGATGCATCGGCTTCAGTGGTCGGGGTTGGCATGGAGGTAGCAGGACTGGTGAATGATAGCACGTCCGTCGACGACGAAGGCGCGTTTGATTATGGCAACAGAGACGAGGTGATTGTACCAGTGATCGTATTACTGAAGCTTGTTGAATCGATGTCCGTGGAGAGGAGAAGGGAGCTATCACTCGAAGCTGGAATTGATCCTTCTGATTGTGAATCTGAAGTGAGACTTGGTGACGGTGTTTCGGACGAAATGAACGACGTCGAGGTAGCTATTATCGAAATTGTCGAGGAAGAAAAGGTCTCTAGGTCATCAAGCGGCACTGTGGGTGAAGACGAGGAATCCGTTGACAATGTTGATAAGTCTGTAGTCGTCGATGGGTCTGTTGTAGATATCAATGTTTCATCTGAGGAAAATGGTAGAGTAGAGGGCAAGTCAGAGATGTTCGAGGATGTCGATGTGAAAATGTCATTAAACGGAGTAGATGCTAACTCAGGTGTATAACGGAAGCCACGGTAGTCGATTCTACGGTAGACAATTCCACAGAAGACGGTTTTTTCGTCAGAGAATTCCATAGTTGGGGATACCTCAGATGAAGAGAAGTCCGACGAAGTATGCTCTTCAGATACGGTGGAGGATATTTCAATTCAGGGGACGAGGTCGAGGCAGATGACATTTACGATACTGTAGTCACGGACAAGATTGACGATATTTCGGATGATGGGAATGCCTCAAATAAGGTAGGCGAAACTTCGGATGAGATCTGTGAGGATTCCGGTGAGGGAGTCACGGCTTCCGGTGTGGCTGCTGGAGTTTCCGACAAGGTGTTTGAGATATTTGATGAAGAAGGGGAGGTTTCGGCCGCAGTAGATGAAGTTTCCGTCAGGATAGCTGAAACCTCCGATGTAGTCGATGGAATCTCTGACGAAGTAGAGGAGTCTTCAGTAGAGGGAGGCAATATCCCCGGCATAGTAGATGAAGTTTCTGATGAAGCAGAACATTCCTCAACTGAAGTGATCATGTCGGATACAGACGAGGGCGTTTCCAATGAAGTAACGGCAGAGAGCTCCCCCAGAAAGCGGGTGCCGGCGCATATGGTCTCCGCAACCTGGAGGTGTTCCAAAGGACGGAAACTTACAGTTGAAAACTATTATTTAGATCCTGTAGTGCTCCATGCAGAGCATCGAAGTCCTGATGAAAGGGAGAACAAGCTTTCACCATACATCAACTCAACTCAACCACGGAGGGTTGAAATTTTGAAGGTCTACTGTGTAAAGATAAGACCACGAAGACAAAACTGATCTCCGGTCGTTTGGCTCCGTCCTGCATCTAATCCCCGCTCCGGACCCCAACAAGTCGGCTGATCCCTGGCCAAGCGGCCCCGTCAACCTCCGCCTCCGATCACCCCGCCCGGAGCTTGAAAGTGTCTGAGCGTCGCAGTTGGGGTGTCCTTGTTGTTTCACTAGCTTATGTGCGAAGAAAACAAGCTATCCCAATTCCACGTCATCGATAAACCTTACTGCTCAACCATTCGGGGAAAAGAAGATGCGCCAAGGGTCTTTTCTCCGTTGGGATGGCAAGCAGGCAAATAGACATTAATTCGCTGGTCCGTCTCACCATTGAGCCGCAACACCCTAGATGAACCGTCTCGTATGGCTCGCGTCGTCCCGTCTTCGGTCTAGAGGATTCTTGAAGGGGCTGAGTGAATCGCCGAGCCACTTACAACTAAGCTTCTGGGGCGCAGAACACCTCGCTGGCGTACGTCACTGAACATGAAAGCTGTGATTCCGCGGGCGTTTGACTACATGCCGGGGAAAATTAAAGCTCCCCATCTTCCCCTCGCGCGTGACAAAGAACTTCCCCGCTGGACTATCGATCATGCCTGGAACATCAAGTTGTTGAACGTCAAAGACAATTGGTTGCCGAAGGAGAGCAATGGAACCGACGACAGAGCCTCAGCACTTCCTCCTGCTCGACCGGGACCATGCAGAAGATGCCATCATAGTCAATCTCGCAAAACGGAGTGATATAACCCCGCTCTACAGCATCAGCCACAACTCCAAAATGACAAAGATGGAGATTCGGAGAATAAAATGCGACGCCATCTCCACCGAGCACCGACCCATCGGCGCCGTTAAGCTTCGCACGATACCACCTCGAATCGACCTCACCGTCCGTGGCGTCGCCTTCAAAATGGCCCGCAAACACCCCCTGTCAAGCACGCTCGGGTTCCGCTTCCTGGGCGCCGGCGAGATGCGCTGGGAGCAGAACAAGAAGGGCAGGGGCATGCGGCTCGTCGACTTCAACGGCAAAATCCAGGCCCATTTCCGTCCGAGAATGCACGTGGCCAGCCACGTTAATACCGCCGCAGCCGCCGGCGGTGGGGGCGGGGGCGGGGAAGACGAGAAGAGCGGCCGGAGTAGTCCGGGGCACAAGCCCGGGTGGGGACCCGGCTTCGAGCTGCACGCGACGAAGCTTGCGGACCTGGACCTGGACCTGATAGTCACGACGGGCTTGGCGGCGGCAGAGCATCGTCGGCAGTTGGATGACGACTGGGACCAGGCTGCGGGCGAGGAGCTGGACAAGGCGCGAGGCGGAAGCTGAGACTTCGTGGGGTCAAGTTCATTACTCATTAACTCTTTTTGAGTTTTCGTTGATGTTGTTTCTATAATACGCCAAAGCTGAAACAACTGGTATTTGACGGATTGGGCTGATATTGCCGCCCAGATCCAATGAAGTCCCGATTCGCCGACGCTTACATGCCTATCAGAGTCAAGAATGATGTTACGATATACTCTCATGATCCGTAGCAGCCAATTATATCCTGCCATTCACGTTCTTCTGCCACTTTTTCTTCACACATTTTACGTTTTGTAGTTCCACGTCAGCCCGTACGTCCACCTCGTTCCCCCTCGTTATTAGGAATGGGCGCTTCCCGTCGGCCTGTGCGGCCATTTCGTCTTCGATGGCGATGGGCGTTGACGGAAGCTCCGGCCCCATCGGTGTTTCGGGAATTTCGTGGAACTTGTCTTTGTTGTGGTGCAAGATGGATCGCTTCGAGGGCGAAGTGCTGATGGTCTTCGTAGTAGCCCTGTTCGTGGTGAAGAGTCGTGGCACCTTCTGTAATAACGGCCGGAGTGCTGGGAGACTCGCGCAAAGAATGGCGCAGAATTCTTCAATGATGGACCAAATGACGATGTCGACATTGTCCCAAGTGGTATCAAATGTGCTGGAAAACATGACGAGATATTTGAGTCTAACCATGGTCGTGATGCATGCACTGTGCGTTGTTAGTCGGCGTTCAGCTTCCAACTTGGTGTCCTCTCAACTTACAAAGAGCCCAGACTGAACATTAAGCCTAATGCAATCTTCTTGCGAATATTGAGCTGAAGCTTGTACAGCTCGGGTATCGGTAACACCAAAATTACGAGATCCTCCACGATGCTAAATACCGCCCCAGCGTACCCAATGGCTGTGACGTCCAAGCATTTGCGGTTCGAGTTGCTTCTATCCCATATGGAAGAGATTGGCGTGCATTGAAAGACGATAGTGAGCAAGAAGATCAGGCCGTGCAGTAGCAGAAACATGATGAAGTACCGGACCGTGAGTTGGAACCATTTCGCCGGGAAGATGCGCGAGAAGAAGAGAAGGATCGAGATCTTCGCAAAGACCTGGATGAGGATATAGATCTGCTGGACGGCGTAGAACAGCTTGATGAGTTTCTCGCCGGAGACGGGGTCGACGTTCCAGTAATGGGTTCCGAACCCTAGATCGGCGCTCGCAATCTCGATCCCTGCTAGGGCAGCTAGAAGAATCTGACCCCTCGTCAGTTTCAAGTTCGTCCAGTTAATGATGAATTCTTGTACCAACTTACCGTTGCGAATATCGCCGTCCAGTCGTCCCACCACAGGCGACGAGTGATCGTCCATCTCGAAAAGCATCGTAGCGCAACAGCTGGGAAGGTAATAACCGACAGGGCGATGGCGATGGTCTTGACTTCTTGACTTCTCGACTCTTTCGGGTACGCGGCGCAGAGACTGCCCAGAAGTTCCGCAGCGGCTAAGCAAGTTAATTCATCCTTCATGTACAGATCATCTCTTGAGCCGGGTTAACTAACATATCTGGTCCTTGAAGTTGCAGCTAAGTTGCACGCACGTCGATAAATCCGACTGAAGATCAACATTCGGACATAGGCACTCCGAGACGGTCGCAACCGAAGTCAAGTTGCAATTTCCCTTCGTGATGGTTTGGGTGAGGCATGGAAGCTATCGTGGTTCTGGTCAGCCCTACCACTTGATCGGAGAATATTGGTCGTGGTCCACGGTGGGAATGCAGGGAACGATGCAGGGAAGCAAGCAAACAGGCACTTACAGAACAACTGGGGACCTGGGAGAGCAAACCCGTAATGCTCTGCGCCTCAACCGCCGAGATCAAGAACCACAAAAGAGACAGTGACAGCAGCAGCCATCGGCCATGCTGCCGCTGTCTCGCATTCCTGATCATCGCCTAGATATCTCGAGTGAAAGCATGCGCGAAGAACAACAAATCGACATGGGGAAACATCAAAAACCGCGAAAGGTTCAGAGTGAAGAGACGGGGGGGGATGGCAGTCAAGAAGTAATGGAATCCACTTCCCACGACGACGGCCCAGGGGGGTCGAAATTCCGCCCGCAACGACCCTGCTTGAAATGAACGAACCACACCTTGTCTGCCCGGCTGCCGCTGAACGACGAAGAAGAAACGCAACGCAGTGGGCAGCATTGTGCCCCTCCGACTTGGTCTATGGTGTCCATGGTGTGTAGCCAAGACCGTAGGCAAGTAGACGAGACGCACCGCCCACCGGCGCAATGTGCAGCAGCTGTGTGATATGGCACACACACAGGCATACCGCATTCCACAATTACCCACACACACACTTACACCAACCAGCTGCCAGCATCGTGCTGTGCGTCTTCTCTGCTCCTGCAGTGCACCATCTAACACCGACGCGGCAGACTTCCGGGCGATATTAGCCAACAGGGCTAGTCGGCCGAAGGACCACCAGGAGGAACATGCAGGGAATCCACATGGCGCCAGCTCTCCCTGACACACGCTTCTGCATGAACCCTGTACCGGCGATGGTTTAGGACCAAGAAGCAAGCTGTCAATGCGTCTAGAAACAGCTGTGTTCTATTGGATGTGGGACGCTGCTCGACTGGTGGTGTCCCCCTCCCGCATGTCGACCTGCTCTAATTGTCTGTAGGCGAGGAAGACCAGCCGAAGAGACTGCTTCAAACGACCTCAACTGCAACCTTGGGATACGAAAATGTGTCGGCTAAGGGACGGGAGGTGGTATTGGGGTCGGGTTGGGGGCGATGAATCGGGAAGATGTTCCCGGTGATGGGCGGGAATAGGGCCCTGTCAGTGCGGGGGGCCGATCAATCACTAACGACATGCCAAAATAGGCGTTCCACACTTCTCTATCTCTCTTTTTCTCCGCCCTCCCTGCTCTGCTCTGCTTCCTGGTCAGTGTGGTGCTGGAAGAAGAGCGATCTGCTCGGGTCCTAGCGCATTTGCTATCTCATCTCAGCCAGGGGCAGCTCGTTGCTGACTGGCCGCCGACTTGAGACTAGAACCATCAACGCCACATCGGCAACGGCTACGGATCGAGCCAAGTCTGAACTGCACGAGGTCTGACCGAGGTGCTGAAGAACAATCCACATGACTCGGAGGCCAGGGGGGGAGGGCAAAATACCCAGGTCTGGAGCGACAGCCTGGTCTGTCATTGTCATGTTGGGTCAAAAAGAGGAAACAAAAGGCGCGTAGGATCGTCCATCAAACCCCTTCAGGATTCGGATCCCTGGACTTGATTCTCCATGTTCTACATGCGTTGGATGATGCAAAATCCATTATCAAGCAGCGCAGCCCAGGCCATGGACAATGCAGAAAATGGGCTTTTCGAAGGTTTCCCGCGAGGACGGGAAGGGCTGCCCTCCTCTACGTGTTCCATTCATTCCAGAAACCCCCCTTGGGCATAAAGTCAAACAAGAGCGCAAGCGAGGCGCGCATCTTCTCTGCGTGGCTCTCTCCCCGACCCTCCAAGACGCCCTAAAAATGAGCCGAACGACATCAAACCATGGCCGAACTCTGTTCGTTCGACGGCACGCCGGCGCTACAAAACTACTAGCGTAAGGGTCTCCCGCCGCCTGGATCAGCCGACGACGCAATGGTCGTTGAAGAATTTCCGGAATTAGTCCTGAGGCGGTTCACCATCCGCATTGTGCCTGCATGTTCCATCCGCGCGCTAGAATGCCCAGGTGTCGCAGGAACACTGAGAGACAAACGGCAGGATAGAGTTTTTCTCTGCTTCCAAGAAGCTTCTCCCGTTCCGTGTTTTTCGCCCCCTCAAAGTGCAGCATACCTTGATCCTTCGAGTCGTCATTCCCGTCGTGCCGGGCGCAAATGCACGTCACGACAGGAGGATCGGATACCGGGTTGTCTCCTCGAGGGCATTCGCAGCCGAAAAAGGCTGAATAGTAATCCGTCCGCGCTTCGACTGTCCATTTACATCCTCTCTTTAGCTGAACCGGTCCATTTAACCTTTGACCAGTGTGATAGATGAAGCATGGGGTTTCAGAAACCTCCCATAACGAGGCGGCGGAAACTCCGCGTCTGACGGAAGATGTCTCTGTCAGCGAGGTCCAGGCCGGTCTTATTCCCAGAATCTTCCCCACGCAGCTGAGCTTCTTCGTAAATAAGCTGCGGACTCCTTGCTACGAGATTGTTTGATCGTCGAGCGGGTGCGGAAATCTTTCCGGGCTGGGAGAAACGAGGGACTTCCTGCTTGCTTAACACCACAAATGCTGTATCAGCAGTATTCCATCATGCGGCTTGAACGAAGCGGCACCAAAGATTGCTTCAAGCCGGTCTCGCGAAATGGTTTTTGAGCTATCAACATGCCATACTGTACTTTTGCCAATTTCTTTCACCTCGCCTGCAGCCTTAGTTTCAGCCGCAGCCCTACCGATCACGTCTGGCGATTCAAGATACTCAGATGACCCTCGTTTCTCAACCTGTCAAATGTCTTCAGACAATTCTTGCTAGTCGGAGTCCGCGGATCCGCAACGGTTAAGCAGGCAACAGAGTCATCGCAAACTCAAGCTTGTTCGTCCGCTATCCCTATCCCTACTCCTATCCCGCCTGACATTCCGCGGTTCAGCATCACCCGCAAACGCCCCGACCACAAGATGGTCAGACACACGACCCAAAAAGGCCGGGCGTTGGACCACTTCAGCAGGAGGCCAGACCGCGCGTGGGAACGTGCCGCCTCCCTCAAGATCGAGAAGCTTCGAAGATCACCCCACGACTGATCTCAGGCCTGATCTGAGAAGCAAACTTTGACGTCCTCGGGGTCCTGAAGCGCCCGATGGGTTTTGTTCGGAAACGTGTCGCCCTTCACGGACTACTTCCGTTGGCACGCGGATAAAGCGGGTGAATTTTTACCAACGGATGCATAGAAGGCCATACCGTGTTCCACCGGACGTCCCACCGGAACTTTCCCCGGCTCATAGACATTCATGGTGTGGTCCGTGAGCTCCACAATGGGAAGTCTTCGGCGCCGGTTG